TACACCAAGCTTTTCTAACGTCATCCTTCCATTTGAAAACAAACTCTAAATTCTCCATTAACAATCTCTGAAATTTCTCAATAATGCTTAAAACAGACGGCATGGTAAATCTTCCATGAGCCAAACTATTTTCGCTTTTGATGTCAAACTTCACATCGCAATTTCGCAAATGCCAATTCCAAAAAGAAACGGCGATGTAAAATCTAACATTGCCAAACGAAGATGACGCTAAATGAAACACAAGCATATACTTATAAACAACCATCTTCACAGAACATTTTGGACACACCACGTCAGTTTCAATTGGAGGACATTAACCAACTTCTGAAATAAACTGTATAATACTTTCCTTGGATTCCAAAATTGTCAACCAAGGAAATATACTCAAATTCACTAACAATGGATGCGTCAACTCACTATAATATACAAGTTAATATCGTCCTTGGAATTCAACACACTGAACTAGTATTTTCGCTCAACAATCGCGCCTAATAAATACTCGCCAAGTTTCGCTCTCACCCCGCTTATGGAAGAATTAACCGAAATCGGAATAAAATAAAATAAAAAATTCAATACAACTAGTTCACAGTAAAACAACTTCTTGTTCCGCTCCAGCGAAAAAATAGCACTTTCCAGTTTAAAACATACGGGAATGCGACAGGATTGCCGAAATGAAGTAGTCTAGAATTTGCTAGGTCCCAGAAACACAGCCGTCTGAAAAGTGTGACAAGCCAGAAAATCGCCAATACAGTTCCTATACTCAAATTGTACCAAATTGAGAAACTCCACTCAGAATGAACTAAAGTTTAGCTTATAAAACAGTATAGCCATGAATCTTCAAGCAAGCCTACTAACGAAAAGCAACAGAAAGAAACTTGAGTGGTAACCGATAGTGACTACCTGATTTTCTTCAGTCACTTCATGAGGGAAGAAATCGAGCAGATTGAAATTTTTTACGAAACTAATCACCAAATCTTATCGTGAAATTCCAAGATGTCAAAAGGAAAACAGACAAAAATTGCAAAATTAGAATACACTCATTACATTCAGCGAAATAAAGCTCTATGCTTGCCACAAAAAAAAACATACAGGTGGAGATATCAAGGAATATGGCATAAAACAGCAACCAAGCTGTATATGAACAAAATAAAAACCAAATGAAAACTCTCGCCAAGTTTCGCGCTCAGCTCGCTTATGGAAGATTAACCGAAATCGGAATAAAATAAAATAAAAACTTTGAAGAGAACAGGAAAACATTCAGACATGCATACACATAAATTAGTACTAGATTTATAACAATAAAGTAAATAAATTATACTAATACTGTTTGCACCGTATAAGTGATGTTCGAAATCGTTAGTCTAGCTACTAATACATCATCTCATTATTTCAAAAATAATGTTCTTAACCAGCAGAAAACAGTTATTAAAAACATTTATGGTTGTGTTAAAAGGAATGTAGAGTCTTCAGGTCTTTACTAAACTTCTGTTATAAGTCTGAATAAGAAACGAATATAGATATTCTATGCAAAATATCCTGAAGAGGGAATCCAAATGTATAGACTCCGGTTGATTCATCAGGAAAAAAAATTCCCAAAGTTCTTATAGAAATATATATATTTACAACTGCAAAAACATACATTGTGTTATGAACAGTTTACTTGTCATAAGAATACATGAGAATCTATTTTCAGTGCTTTACTCGGAGCCATTTGTACTACTAGCTACGAAAAATAAACTTCAATAAATATACATGGTTATGAATAAACTAAAAATATGCGTACATAAATCAATGCATAGATGCGAATGAATTTAAAAAATACATACATAAATCAAAATACGTATAGTAATGAATACTCTAAAAATATACTTACCTTGTAATTTTCAATTTCACGTACGTATATTCAATGGGTCTGGGTCATAATCCCGACAGCCGAAATCCCGACAAGCCAGAATCCCGCTGTCCAAAACCCCGACAGGGCCGAAATCCCGACAACCCAAAGTCCCGACACGGTCGAAATCCCGACAGGGTCAAAATCCCGACAAGCCAGAATCCTGACAGGGTCAGAATCCCGAGTGTCCAGAATCCCGACAGGGTCGAAATCCCGACTGTCCAAAATCCCGAGAAGTTAATATCTAAATACAAACACTCAATTTAGCTTAATAAAATACAATTTTTAACTAACTATTACATATTATTAATTAAAAGTTTAAATCAAAAAATCATAAAAACTATGTCATTACTTAAAATAATTTTAACAAATTGAAATGACCGTTAAAATTTGAAATGAAGATTTATAAATTCTTTTTATTAAGAAAAAGAAAACATCACTACACATGCAAACGACATATTTACAGTGACACATTGTGAGCGATAGCACGAAGATATTCATCACAGTTCGATTATCACGATCGTCCACAACAGTCATAATTCTTCTTTCTCTGTCATCATCTACCTTTCTACGTTTTCGTTGTTGTTCTCCGCGAAGAATGCATTCAACTTGGTATTCCACATGCTCCTGTTCTTTTTGAAATCCTTCTATGATGTTATAAACGCCAATATGGCCCGTCCAATTAAGGTCTCCCATCTTCTGTGCCAATCCTCGACAGCATTTTAAGTGCGCGGAGCATTTATAGCTGCCTTTTCTAGATCACTAATGATTCTAGATGGCCTCAGTTCAGTATTATTTTATTCAGCAAAATCAATTAAATCTTGGAATAATCTTTTGCAATTTTCTTCAGATTTGCTAGTCATCAAAGCATATACTAGTTGCAGCTGTGGAAGTATGTTAAGGGATCATTAGGCCTTATTGGGATTTCGCCCGTGTCGGTATTTTGACCCTGTCGGGATATTGGACAATCGGGATTTCGACCCTGTCGGGATTTTGGCTTGTCGAGATTTCGACCCTGTCAGGATTTTGGTTTGTCGGGATTTCGACCCTGTCAGGATTTTGGTTTGTCGGGATTTCGACCCTGTCGGGAATTTTGCTTGTCGGGATTCCGTCTGTCGGGATTCTGGCTTGTCGGGATTTTGGCTGTCGGGATTATGTCCGGATACCATATTCAACCACCACAAGCGTTTTTAAAGATGGAGGTAAAAATAGACTGACTCGCTTGCGCTGAAATGGTTTGCATTGATTGGCTGTAACAAGTTGCCAGACAATTGTGAAAACTTGAACCATTCTCGCAGTTTCAGAATTTATCGGAGCTGTTAAAAAAACAAGTGAACCATGTTTTGGTTCATGCTCGAATGTTGAACTATTAAATGGTGCAACATTGTACTGAAATTTTTTACAGTGTGCGCTTAGGCGTGTGTCACAAGTTTTTGATTGCATTTAAATCTGGTGCATTTTCAGGCCAGTCTAGCACAATAATTTTATTTTCTAAAATGAACTTTCGGAGAGATTTCGAATTGTAGCATGGAGCCAAGTTATGCTGCAAGGTCCCTACAAAATTTTTCGAGAATGGCACAATCCTAATGTTTTAAAATTTCTGTGTACTTCGATATTCCGTTAATAGGAACTAGATTTCCAATGCCATCTGCAGTGAAAAAAACCCAGAAATATTTGTTTTGGAGGGTGTTTTATGGTTTGTCGGGTATTTTGATAGTCTTACTGACTCACTTTTGCTTTGTCTAACAGCATTAGATGTGTAACCATGAACAAACAAATAAGTATCATCGATGAGAATAAACTTTTTTAGTCATTTGCGGTATGCGATTTGTATTTTTTTAATTCATCAAATGAATCAATAATTGCTTTGATTCATTTGATGTGTTAAAAGTTGTTTACTAATAGGCTTTCTTGCCTTCCGACCCGCAGTGAGACGTCTATACTGCGGGTTTAAAGGATGAATATTAATTTAAGAAGATAATAAATCTCTTCTAAGGTCTTTGTTAGTTTTATTGGATTAATAATGCAATTTTGGAGTAGGAATGGATCAGATCTTGGAGTTGATTTCTTTTTCCTTCCATATTTGCCATTCCTTTCTGAAGAAAATGATCCAGCTTAATTTGTCTCCTCAGAATTCGAGAAACGCTCGATTTTCCACCACCAATCGCGGATGCGATATTTGTTACGGTTATGTATGTGTGATTGTTAAGTGCGATAATCTTTACTCTCTTTCTAGGGATTATATCCATTTTTAGTACGCTAAAATGAAATAATGGAAAACACATTTAAAACATATGCAAAAGTAACTTCCTCTTCCAAAGAAACAAGCTTAAAATGGTGCAATAATCCTCATTTATTGTCTAAGCCACCAGTTCTAAATAATCAAAAGCAGACATTCAGATGACGTTAAGGAAGATAAAACTGCTCTGAGGGAACCGCTGGAGCCAGATGGCAACTAACTAAAAGTTTTGGGAAAAAAATCAGTTTGTTTCAATTAATTTACACACTGGAGTAGATTCAGAGCAAAATTTTGAATGCGATTACTGGAAATGTGATGAAATGACCTCTATTGAGCCTAAACCTAACAACTGCTACTATTTCATGTGGGGGCTTGCCCTGGTTTCAGAAACTGCAAAAGATGCCCTGAACTCAGTCAGAAAAGTGAAGTCAGCCTTTTCTCAGGGATTAAAGATGTAAATTCTAGCATTCATAATAATACAATTAACGAATATCTCCATCCTTTCTTAAATAATAATTTGCAAACTGTATCTTCCAAAAATTCTTAAAATAAACTTTAAAAATAACAGCTTGGAACCTGGTTATGTACCATCGTAAATGTACTTTAGAACGTACCACACTAACTGCAGAAGACAAAATTTTAAAACCCTTTTACTCTTACTTACATTATTTCCTATTTAAGACAGAAAAAGTTCTTGATTTAATTCTGTCTTATAATTTTTCCATAATGATCTTTTCCTTGAGTAACTTCAGTTATAGTCTTTTATTTCAGTAGTACTTACTTTACATTAATATCATGTTATTCACACTTTCCAGTACAAGCTGAAATAAAAAAGCTCAAAATGTATTTGAAGCGATAAGATAAGCTTACCGCAAATCTGACGAGAGCATTTGCACCCGCTCCTTCACCAAAGCCCACAACAAGTTTCACTCTGAAATTAAAAAAGAGTGAGAATGAAAAGTATTATCACAAAAGTAACTTGCTTCCTCAGGCTTAGGTTACGTTCCTTTCTTAATGTTTTAAAATAGTAATAAAGCCTAAATCTATAGAAACTGTTCGCTTGAAAATTTGAAATTTCACTGACATGGATTCAGAATACTGAGACATAAAAAAAATGTTACAATATCCTATATGAATCATTATAAAACTGGAAATGATAACTGAAAAAGGGAAGAATATGTTTACAAAAAATACTAATTTTGTCAAGTAAAATCCTTTTTGAACGAACTGGATTTGATGATCCTGGAACTGAAGAGCGAAATTCCGATCTGTGAGCTCAGTAAGTCTTATTTGAAAAAGGGTTCCTCCATGAAGGAATCCATCAACTTTATAAATGGATAATTCCCTGTGGGCTTGGGTCCACCAGCGGCGGAGCGGTAATACAGCTGAACACTGGTAGTTCGGTCCGAGATTCGAATCCCGCGAACGGTCTGGTTGCATGGGCGTTTTCGTGGTTTTCCCCATGTGTAACGTGTATACGAGCCAGTTTCCCTTAGAAAGTCCTCCACGAAGGCATCCCTCCCCTTAGGCAGATAGCCCTAGTGTGCTTTGCCGTATTCACAATACACCACACCAATACACCCTGTGGGCTTATTATAGTCGCTTTTATTTTATTTGAAAGTGGCAAAATATACTTCGGTTATGTGTTTAAGGATGCCTTCGCGGAGGACTTTCTAAGGGAAACTGACTTGTATTCAAGTTACACACGGGTAAAACTACAAAAACCAACCAAACAGCCACCCCGTTCCCAAGGATCTGTAATCGGAACGAATTCAGAATATTTAACAGCCTTTAACCGCTCGGTCAATGCAGGGACGATTTTATTACAGGCTTGTTACTCAATGGGCAGATTTATAATTTTATGAATCTGAAAAATTAAAGTTTGACGGTTTAAACTAACTTCAAAATTAACCGGCTGCATGGGGCTGCGGTAGTTCCATAATTTATAAATTTTATTTTTCATGTAATTTAAAAAATAAATTTGTGAAACATATATAATCTTTATTACTCGTTGATTTCTTTTTGACTCTTGTCTGCATGTGTATTTCTATTCTTTTTATCTGATAATTAAGCCGAATTTTTGCAAAACGATTAAACAGTAATATCGTAAGCAGTTAGCTCTAAAAGCATTAGAAAACTTAATAGATTTGTCTTCTGAATTGTTTTTTAGATCATTTTCTGAATTGCCGGAAGCAATCGAACTATGTTAAAATTAGTGATTCTCAGAGTGATTTTAAATGCTTTAAAAAACGTTAGTTTAACGAAGAGCAAGCATTTTGTTGAAAACAAAATTCATATGGAGGGAAAAAATCTCGGATTAATTATTAAGATTAATACTTTTAAGTCTTCGAGTTTTAGATCTTAAAACAAGTCCTCACTTCCAAAGGTGAATGATACCAAAGGTAAGATCTTTGATGGTTCAAATGGCATACCAGCTTCTAAGCATTCACCAATAATCATGGAGTTTTGTTCTAAGACGATGGTAACATATTAACAACGAGTGCTACGCTGATGAGAAATACTGTGCTTGTGCCTTCATCCGGTGACACGAAACAGAAGTTTTTTTCGAGTTCCTCAGTGAATAAGCTGTTCGAGCGGCGAAGAACTTGAATGATAAAGGGAGCTGAGATGCAGTTTTCATGAAGTTATTGCGGATCAGTTCATTAACCCAAGTTTAATGCGCGTTGCAATTATACAGATAACTGAAGATACAATGCAAGATTGAATATATAGGATAAAGATGAATTATTTACAGTAAAAGATGACTAAGTCTATAGTCTTGCTATCTCAGCAGTATACAGCAAAGTCTACAGCCTGCTTTTACAGGCATGTGAAACACAAAATATAGTTTCACTATATGCGTAGTCAAAGTCTCTTATTCTGCTTCGCCAGAAATAAGTGAAGTCTATGCCTGTTTTACAGGTTGAACTAATAAAATTATGTAGATGCGTAACATATACAGAATAACACTAATAAGGTAAAAACCGAGTACACAACAACTTGTTATTTTTAATTTTGCATGAATTAATCTGGGTCTTTTTGCAGCATTTTCTAAGGCTGGATCATAATCAACAAGTTTTCTTATGTGCGAATGCTCTGAATTTCACATATTTTCAAAAAGATTGTGAATTGTTCTCGGGATTTAGTCATGGATATTAAAGATTTTAAGATCTTTATGGATCTGCCGGTTTCTCAGAAACCACGGGTTATTGATTCTCATTCTCAGTAGTTTGTTTTAAAACATATCGCGTTTTTTACGGTAAGTTTTGCATACTGTTGCTTAGGCTGGTACCGTGTAAGGCAAAATTGGCAGAACGAGGGTTAGGTAGATTTTACGTCCAGTTTTGATCTGTTATTATGAATTTACGCCAAGTAATGGCATTAACGCAATTTTTTCAGCATTTACTTTACGTACTGTATAGTTGGTTTGCAATTTAAACAGCAACTGTGGATTAAAATGTATTCCGAGATTTTACTGTATTAACTTCAGGAAGAGGAAGATTAATCTTGATATTGATGGAAACCGGGTTATTTTTTCGATGTTGTCGAAACAGCATAATATTGCATTTTGCCAAATCTTGCAGCAATGGGAGATGTTGACAGTGAGTTCAAGTTTTTCTGTTGCATGTTGAGCCTTAAATGACTCAATAAGAATGACAGTATGGTCTGAGTATTTTACTATTTTGTTGTTGAAATGAGTTGGCATAGCATTTATGTAGGTATTAAAAAAAAAAAAAAACCCAAGACACTGCTTGAGGTACACTACTTCTACAGATTTTCTTGCTTGAGAGTTTCCTATTTTAACCTGAAAGGTTTTTGTTTTTAAAGTAAGAACAAATAAGTTTTACGAAATTTATGGGGAGCTTTGCTTGATGAAGCTTACTGAAGGTGGAATCTGGAATCCTCGATTTCGATTCTGGTATCTAGTACAAAGTGTACTTGCCAGTAATTCTTTTGCCCTTAGGCGATCACGTATTTTTGATTTAGATAAAAGGTGCTAAATAATTAACACGGCGTCCTGGGGACGAAAAAGTTATTAGAGGTGGCAAAGCCATGAGTTCGAGCTTGAAAATCTTCCCTAAAAATAGAAACACTCTGCTCTATCAATAGTTCACGCTGATTCGTCGAAGCCAGTCACGTGCGAGGTCACCCTCTCAAGAACTGACCCGGAGAAATGCTGCAAAACAGGAACTCTGTGAATGAAAAATGAGAATTTTTTGAAAATGAAATAAAGTCCTTTTGTTTAATCAGTTTCATGAGGGAATATCTTAACTATTCTTCTGCGTCTGCTACTTTCATTATATACATTGTTGCTCTGAAACCTACTGAAAGTTTTTCTAGTATGGTCTTTGCTCTTCTAATGTTCTCAATGGGCTCGATGACGTTACTTAAGAAATCTTGAATCTTTTCATTCTTTAGCCAAGCCATGGCTTCGTTTACTTCGTTTCGAATGGTGGCTATTTTGATTTTTACTTTCCTACTGAATAGAGACTTTGAGACTTTCTTTTGTTCTACATCTGTTGCTTTAGTGAGCTGGGGGAATTCTTCCATTTTTTTCTCAAATTCTTTTTGTTTTTGAGAGGATGGTTTCTTCTCAAACTTTTTTCTATACTCTGAACATGTACGATAGCTGCATACGTGATTTTCTTTGCAGAATATGCAGATTGGCTTTTCTTCCTTTTTTAGAAGACAAGCGTTGTTTCTGTGCTCTTTCAGTCATTTACAACATCCTTCTTGGTTAGTGCATAGGTGCTGAGAGTGTCCCCATTTCTGACACCTAAAACACTGTATCGGACTTTTTCTTGGGTTATACTTCTGTATGGTAACGTTAACACTGAACATGTTGTTCTGTGTATCACGTATCCATTATGTTTTTCTTCAGCTCTAATAACCCAAGGTTGGAAGAGCAACACCCATATTTATAGCGAAGTAGTAGGTGGAGCAAAGGCAAAACGAACATAGTACCATCTAGTTGAGAAAAGTACTAATGAAAGATAAAAGGTTAAAGCTGTTAGAATTTTGAAGAAGCCTGATCGCACTCGAAAGGGATAGACTTTTATTCAAAATGTATGCAAATCTAAAGTTACTTCTTTTGTCTAGTTTTAAATTATGCATTGGTGTGTTTCTCTTCAAACAAAATAACGATATCATTTGCCTTAGGTCGAAAAATATTTTAGTTACATATTACTGTCTCGCAATCAGAAAACAGAGCGATAGGATACTTTGTCATGCAAAGAACTGATACAGTGCAAAGTCTCTGACTCATACCTCACTTGCACTTTCATAAAGTAATATAATATGTAAAATGTAGTTTTCTTTTCAATGCAATGTAGAATTTAGTACTATTTCATTACACTTTCCATATTTAAATAAGGAATCACCTATTTTTCTTCCGAATCTAATAAATATATGCACCGCACTTTTTACAGTAAAAGTTGCTGATATTTTGAACCGACAATATGATATTTTTTTCAGCATGTCAACAAAGTATTTTGCATATTTAAAAAGCAAATTTTTGAAGCGCTGTCAATTTTTTAAGAAAGATAATTTTTATTATTTTATATATATTTTAAAATACTCATTAAATCTCTTATAAATTATATATTAGAGCTCTAAAACTTCTCCATAAAAGTGGCAGGTATTAAGTATGTTAAGCAATATTTTAAGTGTTCGTTATGTAGTAAAAACTTTGTTTTTGTGAAATCATTGTTTCCTTTGGATTATCTCTTGTTGCTTCGTGGCTCCAAAAGAAGCAGTTAAAAACAACTGAATACTAATAGTTCGTTTCGGATTCGAACTTAGGCGAACAAGCTGGATGTTTTTGTAATTTTCCCCAAGTCTAACACGAATGGAAGACGCTTTCTCCTATATATAAAGTTCTCCCTTAAGACATACCTACCGTCAGGCTATGCTTTGCAATACTCAAATAGCCAAACAACCTATTATGTCAAAATTCTAAGAACACCATTTAATGATTTTCCACTATTCCTTAGTGCTGCTTTGTGTGTGTGTGTGTGTGATTAGAGTAAAGCCTCGAGGGCTATCTGCCTAATGGGAGGAATGCCTTCGTGGAGGACTTTCTAAGGGAAACTGGCTGGTATACACGTTACACATGGGGAAAACCACGAAAACGCCCATGCAGCCAGCCCGTTCGCGGGATTCGAACCTCGGACCGAACTACCTGTGTTCAGCGACTTTACCGCTCGGCCGCTGGTGGGCTTAGTGCTGCTTTGTCAAACAAGAGCTAAGAATACTTGCGCGGTGCAGCTTTGCAAGCAGATGTAGCATAACGCTATAAATACAAGAGAAGTTAAATAACTTACACGCAAAGAAAAATATTTACAGCTTTATGCAAACAAGGTTTGGAAAGCAGCTAAAATTTAACTAAAAGCTTTAGTTAATTAAAAAAATTTAAATCCAAAAAGATAATGCAGTTTTTTAAAATGTAATTAATAACACTGTTGCCTCTGAAGAGACATTACGTTATTCATGTAAAAAAAAAAAAAAAAAAAAAAAAAAGTAGGCAGTCAGAAATAGTATTAACATATCATTTGAAAGTCTGAGAAAGGTACTTATTTAAGCAAAAATTTGAAACCGTTTTTTTTTAATATTAGTTTACCTGGTCTAAAGACGCTGAGTACACAGAAAGAAGGAAGATCTTTTCAATATTTTACATCTGCACCTCATCATATATGAGTAATATACACATATAGTATTACTTTGACAACAGTATTTAGTATGCTTTTATGTTTCTTAATAAAAAAACATCTGCAGAATTTCTATAACAGGAGTAATATGTTTTCATTATTAACATGCATCATTAGAAGTGCGGAACTAAAAACTTACTTGAGAAAATCAAGAACAGCGACTAAATCCTCTCCAAGCGTCTGTATGGTTGGAAAAACGAAACTAAAATAAAAATAAACAAATAAATGAAAACTCAAGCATTCATAATATAAAATTGCTTAAATTACTAGATTAGAGCAATAAATTGATTCATAATCAGCAGATTTGAAGATAATTAGTTTGTTATATTAAGAGAAAACTCATTTTTACACAATATTAATGCACAAATTATAGCTTAAAATTTATGATTAAAGTCTTCAGCTATTTAATGATATAGATCTTGCCAGCTATTAATAAATTAAGCAATCTTAAAACTTATACTCTTCTCTGGCGAAATCTGATTTAGGGGGGGGGGTTGGCGCTCTTTAATTTCATGTTACAGTTCCTGGTTTCGGCAGAACTTAATACTCCTTTCTAATATAACTTGGGAAGAAAATTTTAGAACTTCAATAAAATGTATTGTCATAGTTGAAGAATCTAGCTTTGAAGTTGTATCTGTTATCTTGACAATGTTCCCTTTACAAAACTACTCAGAGAATGATGAATAAAAATAAAATCTACTCTTAAATAAGAAAGCATAGATGAAATTTGTTCTTGCAACCGAAATTTCTTATATTCTCAAAATTGATAAAACGCATTACTTTAATTAATGCATTCTATTGAAGTACATGAAATGCATTCGAAATTAATATCTTTTTGTTGTTTTCTGTCAAAAGTATCACAAATATGAAAAATTCATTAAACAGTGCTCTTTGTCTGCTTCTTATACTCTCGGCATATTAGCGACTTGTGATTTGTAGAATCTTCAATGTCTTAACGGAAGTCATATTTTTTACTATTATTTCCACTAGTTTCAGTAGTGACTGAATAAACTGAATGAAAATTTCTGGATTTCTAATTTCATGTGATCTAATAAAGGTGTCTAATAAAATGAATATTTCTAGTGTATAGACAAGTCATAAAATGCATAGAACGCGCTTTCTATTAGGAACACAAATTTCGGAATGACAGAGATAAGCATCCCCGAAATCATCATAAATTAGTTTTAGTGCAGTTTTAATCAGTCAGAGATAATGCAAATTTCGCCTTTTGTAATTTTGAAAATAATAAGAGGTGAAACATTTTATTGCCTTAATTCTTGAAAACAAAAGAAAAAGAAGCCTATATTTCGTTTGAAGCACACAAATTTAACATATATATGTAAATGACATAATAAAAAGCAAGGAAAAGAAAAGACGGAGCACTGTTGATGTGCAGTTATCCTATATTGAAGAGGAAGTATTTTGATTGAGTCGTAAGCTAATGTGCTGACTTCATAAATAAAACTTGGCAGTCGAGGCGATTTTAATTCCATTTTTTTTCAATTGACATTATGTGGCCACAGATCACTTGGCACCCTAATCCTGCCTGTTCAAGAATATTTACATTATTGATATTATTGCAATAGGAAGCAGCGTAGCGAAATTGCGTCCAAGTACAGCACAGACAGAAGCTGAAGTGCGTAGTTATGAAAGATGGAAGCACGTGAATAGAAAAGTTTTGGTTTACAATGCTAGTTTCAGTTCCTAATTATTACGTCATCAGAGCTGTGCAAACCATAGAATGATCTAGAAATGACGCAATCCAGACAAGTTATTGCGATTTTTAGAATATAGAGGGAGAATTAATGTTTTACCGTTAGTTTAAATTACAATTTTGATTCACATATTTTTTATTTTACATAAATACAGTTCGTTGGTAAAATTTTGAATGTCTTACAATACATCTGAAACTAGATTTTTTTACACTTTCTTAAGATCAGAAATTCGTTCTAAATTTTAATACCGTTTTAAACAATTTTTTCCCATAACCGAAATGTTCTTATACTTAAGGTCTTTATAATGGAAGTCGACTATATATTGCGTATTTGTATGTAATCACGTGAAAACGAATTATGCATGTATCCTTTAAAATGATGACAAGATACTTTACATTTATGAGTATTTTGCATTCATTAGTACACTCATTTCTATTCTATATAAATCAAATTTATCTGGATACCTATTTTAAATTCCAAAACTCTTTGACTTCTCGAGATCTACGTAAATCTCGAGGAATTAAAAGGATTAGATTAAAGCAGGAATGGGAATAAGCATTCAGTAGCTACGTAAGATTGTGGACAATATTCGAAGCTTATACAAAGAAATGGCCTATTTTAAATTTCAGTCGGCGTTTGGAGGATAATGAGATTTGGAAATGTACTGCTAGATTTTAAATAGACTACCACTACTGACATTCGTCTAAATAGTTTCTGAGACATACTTAGCAATATCTAAATATTTACTAACTCATATACTTCTTATAGCTAGCAAATTTACACCGATCTTAATATCCTTCCGTGCCTCATTGGCTCACGTTCTCTTTGTTTGCATATGTTATGAGTTTACAGAAGACCAGGTGCGTATTTTGAACTTCAGGAGTTTGGAATTAGCATATACTTTCACAGAATTTTAAATCGGCAGATGCGTATTAAATAATATTTCCCAAGTTATTCATTAATTTTGCACGCCTCGGTATTTATGGCCGCTTGAAGAGGAACTTCTGTTAAAGAGCATTTTCTGTCAACTGGCAATCCAGTAATCTTGCGTTTGGAAAGAAACTCAATTTTGTTTCGGTTGCTGAAGTTTTCAGCTTGAGTGATCCCGTTAAGGCTCCTATATACCAGACTGAATCACCAACTTTCCCACCTTGACGAGAAAGCGATTTTATAGACGCGCAGGATTCTGCGCATATAAACTTTTTAGATGATTTATTAGTTCTCGAATAGTATATATACGTTTACACTTAAATAAAAATTTCAAGTATATTTTGAAAAACATATTCAAAATAACTTATGCTTTAGATCAAGAGTTCTCAACCGGTGGTACCCAAGAGAAGAATAGGTGGTACGCAAAGAAGCAAAGTATTTTTAAATATTAAATTCAAAAATTAAAACTCCAACATCCGATATGAGCTTTGTTCAAGGTCCAATAGCCGCTTTTAGACTTTACACGAACGATCTGTCTGCATGGCAGCTTTCATAGTTCTTCCATGTTGTAGGTTTCACAAATATTCTTTTAACCATAGCAACTATTTTTTAGACATAACAAAATTTGCCATAAAGGATGATTTTAAAAGGAGTGATAGAAATGGATGCTGCATTTAATAAGGAATAAAAATAAGTTCCTATAAAAAAGATAATAGTATCTCATTAATTCTCTTTAGTTTATCGATTTATTAGCATGTCAGCACTTTACGTCGCCAATTCCGGTCTCATATTGCTCCATTTTCAATGAGAATCATTTTTACGTTGGCTTGCTTTCTCTAACAGCTGGTCTTTTATCTTCTTGTTGCTTTGTATTCCTCACTTTTCTACACGATTTGAAAACATCGTCGTTTGTTTTTGAAGAACTCGTAATATATTGTGCATTTAAATATTTGTGAAAAAATAATAAATCAAACCCAGATTTTAAAAAATAGAAAAATGGCTAGTATTAACTAAGCGGAAAATGGAGATTCAAAGGTGATCGATCCAGGGCAATCTACTACCTCTAAGAATACTGAAAAGAAAAGAAAAGAAAAATTGTTTATAGAAAATACAATGAAAGTTATTTATCATTTGGGTTTCCTTGGAATGGAGTTGAAATGGACCCTCAACCTCAATGTGTTGTTTGCTGGGAACTATGATCCAATCAAAGTATGAAACCATTGTTTCTTAAAAGACATCTTGAATCTAAGCATGCCAATCTAAGGATAAATCTGAAGAATATTTTGAGAGGAAATTGCGGAAGTTCAAAAATAGTAAACAAGTAATGAAATATTCTGCTACTTCAAAGTGAAAAAGCTTTGGAAGCTAGTTGTCTAGTAAGCCTAAAAATTGCCAAGACTAGGCAGACTCACACTATTGAAGAAAAGCTTATATTACCAGCAGCTAAAGACATCGTTTTAACATTATTCAACAAAAAAGGCGGCTAATGAATTTAATAATATTTCGTTATCAAATGATACAGTAAGTCGACGAATTCATAAAATGGCAAATTTCATAAAGAGACACTTATTGAAAAAATAAAACACATTGAGTATTTCTCATTGCAATTGGATGAAAGTATTGATAAAACGAACTTTGTTCAATTATTAGTTTACATACTGTTACGGATTTTGTATTTATTTAGCTATTTTAGTAGAGTTTTAATTAAAACTGTTTTATTTCCCCGTGCAGCGCGTGGCGAGTCTTACAGAAAGCTACACTGAAAAAGTGAAAATGCAGGAGCATGCACATTTAATAAATATATATTTCGTAATTTATATTGAGTAAACGCAATTGTGTGTTAGCTGTAACTGTAATTCTACTCTTTTGCTTTCCTGAAAGCTCGAGAAAATAAAAATTACCAGAATGTTCTCGTGCATGATTAAAAAGCTTTAAAAATCCAGAGCGAAACATCTCAGTTCCCAGTTGTTTACTTAGTGCTATATTGGTTGTAGTGAACTCGCGGTGGATCGGATTAGCTTTCTCTGAGCTTTGGACTGAGCTCTATTTAACGTTTTAGTAGTTTAAACTATAACTACTGTGTGCTGTCGTGCTATTGTACGAATATCTGTGAGGAAAAATTTGAGCATTTTGTTTTATTTCTTGCGATAAAAATAAATTTTGTTAAACAATTTTAAAAAAATTAATAAAAAATAAATTTTGAAATAAAAATAAATTTTGAAAAAAATAAATTTCGATAAAAATAAATTTTGAAAACAATTTAGAAGCATTTCAAATAAAGTTTTAAAATTTTTCATCAGATTTGTGCATTCAACCTATTATGAACCCGTACGCGCGCAACAATACGTTTCAAAGAAGATAAGCGAATTGTCGAAGACTATTTATTTTGTGAATCTCTTCTTCAAAGAGCAACTGAAAATGAAATTTTCAAAGTATTTAACAATTTTATATTTGAGAATGATATTTCTTGGAATAAGTGCATTGCCGTCTGCAGTGATGGCGCTCGGGCTTTAACAGGAAATCATTCCGAAGTGATTTCTCAAATAAAGAAAGTCGC